GGCCCCCCCGGGGGGGGGGGGACGCAAGGTGGGGGCTCAACCCTCATTGCCCCCCGCCAGAACCGGGGATTCTTCCTCAAAAAACGCCGCCCCCTCCCCAAAAAATGGGGGGACCCTCGTTAAAAAAACGCTCCCTCCCCCTAAAAAAACCCCAAATCCCGCCGGCCTGGGGGGGGGAGCCCAATATCGGGGGGGGTCCCCGGGTGTCGGAGGGGGTTCCCCAACATCGGGGGGCGTCCCCGGTGTCCCCCCGCCCCAAACAATGGCCCCGCGGCGGCGCCGGGAGCGCGCAGCGCAGACAATGGGCGGGGGCGGACCGCCGGGACCCCTCGGGGACACCCCCGGGGACACCCCCGGGACCGCGGCGGGGCGGCGGGGCTGCGCTGGAGCCGCCTCGGGGCGCGATGCGACCCCCGGGACCCCCGGGATCCCCCCCGGCGGTGGCACGGCGGCCTCGGAGCGCTTTGTGCCCGTCCCGGGGCCACCTGCGGGGCGTCCCCGCTGTCCCCCCATCACCCGCGGGGTGTCCCTGGGGTGTCCCCCCCGCTGTCCCCATCCCCTCCCCAGTCCCCCGGCGGGGTCGTCTCGGGGGTCCCTGGGGCGGGGTGTCCCCCGTGTCCCCCTCTCTCCCCTGTGTCCCCCGCTGTCCCCATGCTCTGCCCGGTGCCCGGGGGTCCCTGTGCCGGGATGTGCCCGGTGTCCCCCCCTGTCCCCCGTGTCCCTGCTGTCCCCCAGTATCCCCCGGTCCTCCGTGTCCCCGCTGTCCCCCGCTGTCCCTCTGTGTTCCCCCTGTCCCCCCCTGTCCCCGGTGTCCCCCCGCTGTCCCTCCCCGCTGCCCGGGGTCCCTCGCGGGGCGCGCCCGCTGCCCCCGGCCCCGGGACAGCCCGGGCCGGATCCCGAGCCGGTTCCTGCGGAGCCGCCCTGGAGCCGCCGGGAGTTCCCGGAGCCCGGCCTGGGATGGATTCTCCTTCGGGATCCTCTCCCCACCCCGCGGCAGGCGGAGGTGAAAACGCAACAAAGCAACAAAAAGAAATCAAAACCAAAAACAACAACAACAAAAAAGGAGATTTCGGGAAAATTCAGCTCTCCTGGAGGAGCCTCCGGCTCCATCCCGGAAATTCGAGGATGGGGCTGCGAGTCCGACGGGATCCCGAGGATTTTCCAGGGGCTTTGTGAAGCTCGGATGATTTAATTAATGAACAATTAACAATTAACAGGCGGCGGCCGCAGAGGGGGGAGCCGGGGGCGGCCGCTTCGGGGTCGAGGTCACCCCGTGTCCCCCTCCCCGAATTCCAGAGGGGTTTGGGGACATCCCAGCCCTTGGAATGATCCCGTGGGAGGATTCCTTGTTTTTCCCCGGCCCCCGGCAGACAATGGGGCCGGAGGGAGCAGCCCCGAGGTCGCAGATCCGCCTTAATTCGGGATTTGGGATGAGTTTCCCGAGGTTTTATGGATTTATTGTCCGGCCGGGATGCCCGGGAAGAGGCCTGGGAAGGGATTTGGGAATTCCCGGCTGGGAATTCCGGTCAGCACCGCCCCAGACCCGAGGAGCTCTGGCCCAGCTGCCCTGCAGGATCCCTGGATGTGGATGGAACGATCCCAGCGTTCCCGGATCCCGCTGGATCCCGTCCCTGCGCCGCTTTTCCAGGATCCAGGACGTGGATAATGGGCTGGGGGGATCCCAAAGGATCAGGAGCTGCTGGAGAAGAGTTCTCATGGATCCAAACCCCCGTCCAGGTGTCCTTTGGGGGCAGCAATTGGGATTTTGGGGTCTCTCCTGGAGAAAACGTCGGAATTCCGAGCAAGGACGTGGATTTCTGGGATTTCTGGGATGGTCCTTCCCAAATCCCATGGAGCCACCTGGAATCAGCTTTGGGGTGTCCTTGGGATTGTCGGAAGGGATGGGGAGATGGGATTTGGGATTTCTCCAGGGAATCCTGAGTGTTCTCCAGGAATTGGGGAATTTAGGGATGTGGGGTGGGAATTCCAGAATCCTGGAATTTTTTGCTGGGAATTTGGCATTCCAGGCTCCTCCAGCTGCGGGATTTGGTTTTCCAGGTGCTGCAGTGCTGTTGGATCCTCGTGGGAAAAGGGGCTGGGTTGGAAATTTGGGATGATTTTTCCATGGAAAAAGGGTTGGGAAGCACCAGAAGGAGCTCAGGGAGGGTTGGATCCCCACACCTGGAATTCGGATGTTGATCCATCCCAGCTTGGCCTCGGTGACCTCGGAGATCTTTCCCAGCCTGGACAATCCCGGGATTCTGGGATTCCCACCCCTCTCCCTTTGGAAGGACATCCCCAATTCCCGACTGGATCCTGGAGTTGGATTCTCCTGGAAAAGGAGCCTTGGGACGCTCCCAACCCTCCCCAGTTCCTCCAGGATGGGAATCCCAGATCCTTCATCCGCCGGATTCTCCCTCTCCAAGTGGGATTTTTGAAAGGGTTGGGAAGCATGGGAAGGGGCTCCAGGAGGGTTGGATCCCATCCCTGGAGGGAATTCCTGGAATTCGGATGTTGATCCATCCCAGCTTGGCCTCGGTGACCTCGGAGATCTTTCCCAGCCTGGACAATCCCGGGATTCTGGGATTCCCACCCCTCTCCCTTTGGAAGGACATCCCCAATTCCCGACTGGATCCTGGAGTTGGATTCTCCTGGAAAAGGAGCCTTGGGACGCTCCCAACCCTCCCCAGTTCCTCCAGGATGGGAATCCCAGATCCTTCATCCGCCGGATTCTCCCTCTCCAAGTGGGATTTTTCCCAGGAAAATTCATTCCCAGCTTTTCCAGGACCCTGGATCAGAAAGGAGCAGATTTTCCTCTTGGAACTCTCCCTCTGGAGCCATTGGGAAGAAGTTTTTTCATCTGGAAACGCTTGGATCTATTTTTTTATTTTTAATTATTTTCGCTCTTTTGGGAATATTTGAATCCCAAATGTTGGATTTGAGGTTCAGGACTTTGATCCTGAGCCCCATCCCGGGAAAAATTCCAGCCTGGACTTGAAGACGTAGGGAATGGTGAAGCCTCTCCAGCCCTGGGGGGCTTTTTTGGGAGCTTTGATCATCCCAGGATTAAAAAATGGGAATTTTCCTCCTCCTCTTTTGCATCCGGCTCTGGCTCCCGGCGTCTCCCAGAGTCCGGGAATCCATTCCCAGCTTTTCCAGGGCTGTGGAACCGGCTCTGCTGGAAAAGATTCCAAAAAAAATCCCCTTTTTTTCCTGCTGGAACAAGAGGATGAGGAGCTCCAGGATCCTGGATTCCTGCTGGAATTCCCAAATTCCCTTTGGAAAACTGCTGGGATGGGGATAATACCTGGAAAACTCACGGATTCCTGGAAAATCCTGAATTTATTTTGGCTGAATCCACAGGCTGGGGCCAAGAGACCTCGGAATACCTGGAAAATCCTGGGATTCATGGAAAACCCCAGGATTTCTGGAAAACCCCAAGCTCACTTCAGCCTGGGATTCCTGGAAAATCCCAAACCTATCCCAGGACGACGATTCCCAAAAATTTTGGGATGCCTGGGGTGGGGTGTCCAGTCGCTTTTCCGCGGTGCTCCCAAGGAATCCCTGAGCGCCGGGATCTGGGAAATGGCGGGATTGGGGAATTGGCGAGAGTTGGGAATTGGCGGGAGTTGGAAATTGACGGAATCTGGGAATTAGCGGGGTTGAGAATTAATGGGAGCTGGGAATTGGCGAGATCTGGGAATTGGCCAGAGTTGGGAATCGGCGGGAGTTGGAAGTTGGCGGAATCCAGGAATTAGCGGGGTTGGGATTTAGCGGGAGCTGGGAATTGGCGAGATCTGGGAATTGGCGGGATTCAGGAATTCAGGAATTTGGGAAGAGCTCCCGAATTCCCGTTGTTTGGCTCTCGCAGCTCCAGGGCGGCCCCCCCGTGCCGTGAGCAGCCCCCCATGCCCGGCCCGTTTCCGATGCCGGCCCCTCCGGAGGCTCCGGACGCTCCAAAGGCCTCGGTGAGCGCCGGGACGGAGCCGCCGCCGCCGGAGCCGCCCGGTGAGTGAGCCCAGGCAGCTCCTGCTGGGATAACTGGGGATACTGGGACAGGATCCAGCCCTTACTGGGGGGACTGGGACCCCGGGATCCAGCCCTTACTGGGAAACACTGGGATCACCAGTATCAGCTCCTTACTGGGGTTACTGGGACACACTGAGGCCCCCAGTATCCATCCTTTACTGGGCCTACTGGGACCCCCAGTGTCTCCAGGCCCCATTCCCGTCTCCTGGACAACAGCGGGAGCGGGGAAAGGCCTCGGTTTCCATGGAGATCCGTGTGGGATCATCCGGAATTCCGGACAAAGGAATTCCCCCCGCTTCCCCCTTTTCGCCTCCTTGACCCCTTCTCCCCCTTTCCCGGGGCCTTGGAAAAGGGGCCCGAGGGTTTTTTGGGGTTGATTTGGTGGGAATGGGATTTCCATGGAAACCTGGGAAGCTGGGATGGCTCCCAGAGGCAGCTGGGGCCTTCCAGTCTGTGGGATTGGGGTCTGCAGATTCCCCCAAAACCCTCGGGAAAAGGCAGCGGGGTTTGGCAGGATCATCCCGATGGAATCCAGCATTCCCAGGTTCCCAAAGGGGGGACACAGCCCCAGACCCCAAATCCCCTTTCCCAGCCCCATTTCCCACCACCACGGAATGGGATGTAGGGACGGGGGGGGCTCTGGGCCATGCTGGGCCATACTGGGCCGTACTGGGCCATACTGGGCCGGCCCCAGTGACGCTCCCCGCGTGTCCCCCCAGGTGGGCGCGTCCTTTTCTCCTGAGCGAGGCCACCCCAAGGTGACAAAATTGAGCCCCTCAAGGTCACGGTCGACTTCCTGAAGGTGCCCCTGGGCCTGAAGAAGCCTCCCCTGAAGGAGGCCCTGGCCGCTCTCCCGGGAAAACCCAAATCCCACATCCTGGAGCGGCACAAACCCCGGCGTTCCGACGCCATGGATAATGAGTCGCAGTATTCCGGATATTCCTACAAATCCGGCCACTCCCGCAGCTCCCGCAAGCACAGGTGAGCGACCCCGGATTCCCCGTCCCCGCCTTTTGTGGGTGTCCCCACCTTTTGTGGGTGTCCCAGTCCTGCTTTTCCCGCTTTTCCCCCCATTTTTCCCATTTTTTTCCCAGGGATCGGCGGGAGCGGCACCGCTCCAAGAGCCGGGATGGGACGCGCGGGGACAAATCGGTGACGATCCAAGCGCCGGGAGAGCCTTTGCTGGACAACGAATCCACGCGGGGGGACGAGAGGGTGAGCGGGGAAAGGGCTGGAACCCCGAGGGTGGGATCCCGGAGGGCTCCGGGAGCTTCCCGGCGGAATTTCCCGGCGGAGCGGTCCAGCCGGTCGGGCCGGTCCTGGGAAAATGAGAAAATGAGAAAATGAAAGGAGACGCGGCTCCGGCGGCGCCTCGGGAAAAGCCGGGGCTGGAAAACGCCCCCGGGATCCGACCCCGACAGACCCAAACCTCGAGGATTTGCCCCAAATTCCCGCACAGATGGAACAGGGGAGGCTGCCCCGCCCCTGGTGCCCCTCGTTCCCGAATTCTGGAATTCCTCTGGACTCCGCGGAGCCTGGTCCCAGCCTTTCATCCTCTCCCAATCCGCCCACGCCGGCGGCTCCGGCGCTTTTCATGTTCCCTCTCCGGCGGCTTTTCCTGGGAATGGGCTCCCGGAGCCGCCCTTCCCGTCCCGCTGGAAAGCCCCAGGCTCCGCTTTGCCCTTTGGAGTGAAATTCATGGAAACGTGGAATTGGTTGGAAGGGGCCTTGGGGATCATCCCATGGGCAGGGACACCTCCCACTGTCCCAGGGTGCTCCGAGCTGGAGCTGGGTGCTTCCAGAGCTGGGGGATCCATGGAAAAACCTGTGCCAGGCGCCCTCACCGGGAGGAATTTCCCGGTTTTCTGGCAGAAATCTGTGGGGAAAATTCCGACATGGAAAAACAACCCCCAAATTCCAGGAATGTCCAAGTGCCCAAAACCAGGATGAGGGAAAGACACACGGACAGGGGTGGGGGAAGGAATCCAGCTGGGAAGGAATCCAGGATTTTTGGCACCTCTGTGGCTGGGAGAGGGGCTTCTGGAGCAGGGAAGGGCCTGTCCGGAGCCATTCCCGACAATTCCCAGCCATTCCTGACAATTCCCAGCCATTCCCATCATTCCCAGCCTTCCCGGCGCGGGCAGCGGTGCAGGGGCGTGCCGGGCGTGTTCCTGCTGGCCCTGCCAGCCGGGGGGGTTTGCCAGGAAATCCGGGAGCTTCCCGATCCCAAAGCTGCTCCTGCCGGAGCTTCCTGATCCCAAAGCTGCTCCTGCCGGAGCCGGAGCTTTCCCGGAGGGAAAATTCCCGGCGGAATCGCCGCTCTCCCAGGCCCAGGCTGAGCTTCCTCCACCCTGAGGAGGGTGATGGCTCCGGGGAGCGCTCCTGGCGTGGAGGTGGGATGGGGGTTTGGGAATGTCCTTCTGGGATGGGAGGAATTTGGGGCCACCCCTTGGAATGTCCCCTGTCACCTCCTCAGGGTGACGTTTCCTGGTTTGGAGCTGTGGTGGGTGGGAGGTCCTGGCGGTGAGGCGGGACAGGTGGGACACGGAGCCACCCCTCGAAATGTCCCCTGGGGTGGTCGGTGGGAGGTCCTGGCGGTGAGGTGGGACAGGTGGGACACGGAGCCACCCCTCAAAATGTCCCCTGTCCCCTCCCCAGGACGACAACTGGGGCGAGACCACCACGGTGGTGACGGGGACGTCGGAGCACAGCATCTCCCACGATGACCTCACGCGCATCACCAAGGACATGGAGGACAGCGCCCACCTGGACTGCTCCCGCCACCTGGGCGTGGTCCTGGGCGTGGCCCTGGCGCTCCTGGCCTTCCTCACGCCCTTGGCCTTCCTCCTCCTCCCGCAGCTGCTGTGGCGGGAGGAGCTGGAGCCCTGCGGGACCCCCTGCGAGGGGCTCTTCATCTCGGTGGCCTTCAAACTCCTCATCCTCCTGCTGGGCAGCTGGGCCTTGTTCTTCCGCCGCCCCAAAGCCTTCTTCCCGCGCGTCTTCGTCTTCCGCGCCCTGCTCATGGTGCTGGTTTTCCTGCTGGTCGTCTCCTACTGGCTCTTCTACGGCGTGCGGATCTTGGATTCGCGGGACCGCAACTACCGCGGCGTGGTGCAGTTCGCCGTCTCCCTGGTGGACGCCCTGCTCTTCGTGCACTACCTGGCCGTGGTGCTGCTGGAGCTGCGGCAGCTCCAGCCCCAGTTCACGCTCAAGGCCGTGCGCTCGGCCGACGGCGCCAGCCGCTTCTACAACGTCGGCCACCTCAGGTGGGCGCGGCTCCGCTGGATGTTCCCCTGGTGGGAATGGGGATTTTGTTTTCGTGGCAAGGGTGGTGAGGGGCAGCGTGGAGATGTTCTGAGGGAGATGGAGGGGATCGGTCTAAAGGAAAGGGGATCCAAGGGGATTTTGGGTTCCGCCAAGGGGGTGTTGGGATCTGATCACAGGGAACGGGGTCAGGACTAAACAGGGAACGGCCTTGAGTTGTGCCAGGGCTGGAAATTTGGGAAAATCCCTCCTGGAAAGGGCGGCCAGGCCTTGGAAGGGGCTCAGGGAGGTTTGGAGTGGCCACTCCTGGAGGTGTCTGAGGAATTCCTGGACATTCCTTGGGTTGACCAAGGGGGGATTGGGCACAGCTCGGACTCGGTGATCCTGGAGCTCTTTTCCCTGGGAATTGATGGAATCTTGGAATGGTTTGGGTTGGAAGAACCTTAAAAATCCCTGGTCAGGGACACCTCCCACCATCCCAGGTGGCATGGTGATGTTCTGAGGGAGATGGAGGGGATCGGTCTAAAGGAAAGGGGATCCAAAGGGATTTTGGGTTCCGCCAAGGGGGGGTTGGGATCTGATCGCAGGGAACGGGGTCAGGACAAAAGGGAGAACGGCCTTGAGTTGTGCCAGGGCTGGAAATTTGGGAAAATCCCTCCTGGAAAGGGCGGCCAGGCCTTGGAAGGGGCTCAGGGAGGTTTGGAGTGGCCACTCCTGGAGGTGTCTGAGGAATTCCTGGACATTCCTTGGGTTGACCAAGGGGGGATTGGGCACAGCTCGGACTCGGTGATCCTGGAGCTCTTTTCCCTGGGAATTGATGGAATCTTGGAATGGTTTGGGTTGGAAGAACCTTAAAAATCCCTGGTCAGGGACACCTCCCACCATCCCAGGTGGCTCCAACCCGACCTTGGACACTTCCAGGAATGGGGCAGCGACATTTTTTCCCGGGAATTCCGTTCCAGCCCTTCGTGTCCCTCGGTGTGTGTCCCCCTCACACATTCCCCCCTCTCCCCATGCCCCACGTTCCCGGTGTTTCCCCCGCAGCATCCAGCGAGCGGCCGTGTGGATCCTGGAGAATTACTACCACGACTTCCCGGTCTACAACCCCGCCCTCCTCAACCTTCCAAAATCCGTCCTTTCCAAGAAAATGTCCGGCTTTAAGGTCTATTCCCTCGGCGAGGGTGAGATTCCCCCTTTCCCCTTGGCTTCTCCTCTCGTTCTCCTCCCCTTTCTCCATCCCCATCCTCGTGTTCCGCTCTGGAATTTTTTGGGGGGGAGCTGCGGGTGCTTTCCCCGCGCTCACCCCTGGTCTGGGCGGCCCCGCAGAGAACTCCACCAACAACTCCACGGGGCAGTCGCGGGCGGTGATCGCGGCGGTGGCGCGGCGGCGCGACAACAGCCACAACGAGTTCTACTACGAGGAGGCTGAGCACGAGCGCCGGGTGCGGAAACGCCGCGCCAGGTGCGGAAAAATCCCTGGATTCCCCACGTTGGGAATGCCGTGGGGGGCCCCTTCCGGTTCTTCTATGGATGGGGAGATTCCTGGGGGCGATCCCAGCTCGTCCCAAGGGCGGTTGTTTGGATGGATCTTCGGCCAAGCTGGTTGAGGCTTGGGTTCCTTCATCCATTTGAGTGAATCCCAGCAGATCCAAGATTTCCATCCTGGATCCATGGGGTTTCCCATCCCACATCCAAGGGATTTCCATCCCAGATTGAAAGGAGTGTCCATCCTAAATCCAAGGGATTTTTCCATCCCAGATTCAAGGGGTTTTCCATCCCAGATCCAGGGGGTTTTCCAACCCAAATCCAAGGGGTTTTCCATCCCACATCCAAGGGATTTCCATCCCAGATTCAAAGGAGTGTCCATCCTAAATCCAAGAGATTTTTCCATCCCAGATCCAAGGGGTTTTCCATCCCACATCCAAGGGAGTTTCCATCCTAAATCCAAAGGATTTTTCCATCCCAAATCCAAGGGAGTGTTCATCCTAAATCCAAGGGAGTTTCCATCCCAAATCCAAGAGATTTTTCCATCCCAGATCCAAGGGAGTTTCCATCCCACATCCATGGGAGTTTCCATCCCAAATCCAAGGGATTTTTCCATCCCAAATCCATGGGATTTTTCCATCCCAAATCCAAGGGCGTTTCCATCCTAAATCCAAGCAGTTTTCCATCCCACATCCAAGGGGTTTTCCATCCCAAACCCATGAGGTTTCCCATCCCAAACCCACCTCTCCCGGCAGGCTGGTGGTGGCGGTGGAAGAGGCCTTCACCCACATCAAGCGGCTGCAGGAGGAGGACCAGAAGAACCCGCGGGAGATCATGGACCCGCGCGAGGCCGCCCAGGCCATCTTCGCCTCCATGGCCCGGGCCATGCAGAAGTACCTGAGGACCACCAAGCAGCAGCCCTACCACACCATGGAGAGCATCCTGCAGCACCTGGAGTTCTGCATCACCCACGACATGACCCCCAAGGTGCGTGGAGTCCTCCAGACGGGATTTGGGTGGGTTTTATCCCATTTGGGATCATCCCGGCGGGAAAAGGAGGGGTTGGAGCAAGGTGGGGTTGGGTTCTTCTCCTGGGGAACTGGGAATGGAGCTGGAGCAGCTGGAGAAGGGAGTGGAGAATCCTGAGGGAGCTGAGGGAGCTCAGCCTGGAGAAAAGGGGGATCCAGGGGGGATTTTTGGGCTCTCCCAGGGGGGATTTGGGATCTGCCAGGGGGAATTTGGGATCTGATCCCAGGGAATGGGACAGGACAAGAGAGAATGTGCCAGGGGAAACTGAGGGTGGGAAATTTGGGAAAATCCCTCCTGGCAAGGCCTTGGAAGGGGCTCAGGGAGGTTTGGAGTGGCCACCTCCAGAGGTGTCCGAGGAATTCCTGGAATTCTGGGTGAGCGGGTGGAGATTGGCCCCAGCTCAGACTCAGTGACCTCAGAGCTCTTCCCCAGCCTGGACAACCCCAGAATCCATCCCCAAAAACCCCCAAAGCAGCACCACGGGGCCGTTTTCCCTCCAAAACCAAAAGCTGGGCCGGGCCACGCGGCGGTGACATTCCCCGTCCTTCCCCTTTCCCAAGGCCTTCCTGGAGCGGTACCTGACGGCCGGTCCCACCATCCAGTACCACAAGGACCGCTGGCTGGCCAAGCAGTGGACGCTGGTCAGCGAGGAGCCGGTGACCAACGGCCTCAAGGACGGCGTGGTCTTCGTGCTGAAGCGCCAGGACTTCAGCCTGGTGGTGTCCACCAAGAAGATCCCGTTCTTCAAGCTCTCCGAGGAGTTCGTGGACCCCAAGTCGCACAAGTTCATCATGAGGCTGCAGTCGGAGACCTCGGTGTGATGGGCCGGGATGGGACCTTTCCCGAATCCTTCCGGCTCCGAATCTCCGAATTTGGCTCCTCCGGCGCCGCCAGGCCGTGGAAAACCGGGAAAGGCGCTCCCGGCTGCGGCGCCTTGCTGGGATCATGACCACTCGTCCTTTCTTGAGGTGGCTGAGCCCCTTCTCCTCCTCCTCCTCCTCATTCCTGAAATCCGGATCCTTTGGAGCCGTAACTCAAGGGCTAATTCCAAGAATTCCAAGAATTCCCAACTTCCTTCTTCACCAGCGTCCTGGAGCAGCTCCGGGTCCCACGGACCTCCTGCTCCTGTCCGTTTTCTCCTGGACAACTGTCCTGGCTCTGGCCTTAAACCACTGCCCGGCCCCGGGGCTGGGTTCGGAATCCCAAGGGAATTTCTTGGGTGGGGGGAAGGATTTTGGAATCATCTCCAGGATCCGTGGCTGCTATGGAAAAGCTCCCGTGGTGCGTCCCAGGTTTTGGGAGCGTCCTCCTTGCCTCTGCTGATGGGTTTTTTTAGGAAAAACGAGTGGAAATCTGGGCTTTTTTGGAGGAGCTGAAGGTTGAGTTGAGGTTTTGGGAGTTTTTTTGGGTGGGTTTTGCTGCTCCTGAGGGGATCCGCATCCCAAATTCCAGCAACATCTCCATGGGCGTTCCTATTGGAGAAATCCTGGATCCGTAACCCTGAGGAGCTCCTGGGAGAGGTCAACGAGGTCCTTCAGGATCGTCCCTCGAGGAGGCGGCCCCGTGGTGATCCCACAGAATTCCCATCGGGATGCAAAAAAACCCTTTTATTTTTTTTGCCTTCTCCTGGTTTTGTTTTTAAGATCACAAATACCTCACGGATGGATTTGGAATTTTATTCCCTTTTTTTCCTTTCCCGCTCCAGCTTCCACCTCCCCCCATCGTGGGGTCGGAAGTGCCGGATTTCATTCCAGGGAGGTGTTTTGGGGTCAGGTTTTGGGGTCGATTTTGTCCTAAGCACTAAAAAGGGGGAGTTTGGAGCCAGGGGAGGCTTCCCCAGTAAGCACCAGTAGCAAAATGGGGGGATCCACCCCCTACCCGAATTCCAGGAAATCCCTGGATTTTTGGGAATTTTTGGGGGTAATTTTTTAGGGAATTTCAACTGGGAGCCCATTTTGGGGCATTTTCCTGGAAAAAAAAAAAAAAAAAAAAAAGCAGATGGATCTTCCTGGGAGGGGTGGGGAATTCATAATTCCATTTTGGGAATTTTGGGAGATCAAAATTCCCTTTCTTTGGTTCCGTTTTTGGGGTTGGGTTTGGATTTTGTTTTCCCGCAGAGCCGAGAGTTTTGTGCATGCGTGTAGAAAGTTGTAAAATGTCAAATTAATGGTTTTTAATATATAAAAAAAGCTTGGATTTTCCCGGATTTTTGCAGTGGATCGGAGCATTCCGGCAGTGGTAGGAATTTTTTTCCGTTGGTGTTTGGTTGTTTTTTGGGTTATTTGTTTTATTTTTTTTTCATAGAGGAACTAAATTGTACAATTTTGTTTTTTTAATAAAATAAATCTGTTTTGACTTTTTTTTTTTTTTTTTAATTTATTTCGGCTCAGGAGCTGTGGGGCCAAGAGTTTGGGGTTTGTGGGGTCAAGGATTTGGGGTGTATGGGGCCAAGTTTTGGAGTATGTAGGGCCAAGGATTTGGGGGGTGAAGGATTTGGGGTCTACAGGGCAAGGATTTGGGATTTATGCGGCCAGGGATTTGGGGTGTTTGCCACTAAAGTTTATGCATCTACAGGGCCAAAATTTTGGAATCTATGGGGTCAAAAACTTGGGATTTTTGGGGCTGAGGGTTTGGGGTCAATGCCCAACTCCTTCTGTGCTCATCCCGCCCCCAAATCCCCCAGAACCTCCCCAAAACATGTGGGGAAAAACACCAGAGGGAGCTGCGTGTCCCGGCAGAGAAATTCCAAGGATTTTTGGGATAAAATCCCACTTTTTTGTGCTGTTCCTCGTGCAGGGGACACCAGAGGGACCTCGGGGTGGCCTCGTGTCCCTGAGGGGGCCTGGGAGCCACCGGGGCCACCCTGGGACCCTCAGGAGCCTCCTGGGGACGAGTCCGGCTGGGGAGGAGAAAATCGGGAATTGTGAGCGGCTGGAATTGTCCCTTTTTCCCGGGAATTGTCCCTTTTTCCTGGGAATTGTCCCTTTTTTCTGGGAATTGTCCTTTTATACCAGGAATTAACCCTTTATCCGGGGAATTGTCCCTTTTCCCCAGGAATTGTCCCTTTTTTCTGGGGATTGTCCTTTTATACCAGGAATTAACCCTTTATCCGGGGAATTGTCCCTTTTCCCCAGGAATTGTCCCTTTATCCTGGGAATTGTCCCTTTGTCCCGGGAATTGTCCTTTTATCCCAGGAATTGTCCCTTTATCCCAGGAATTGTCCCTTTCCCCCGAGAATTGTCCCTTTATCCCAGGAATTCCCTTTTTCCCATGGATTTCCCCCTTTCCCAGCAATACCGGGGGCTGGGGAGGGTCTGGCTGGTCCAAGGTGGTCTCGGCGTGCTCCGGGATTTTTGGGATGGGGTCGTGGACTTGGGGCTGGACCAGAGCTCCCAAATCTGCAAAGGAAAAGATCTGGGAATTACCAGAGTTTGGGAATTCTCAAATGGTTTGGGATGGGAGGAGCTTTGGGATCATCCCAATCCCACGGGAAGGGACATTCCCACCATTCCAAACTGGAACTGGGAACTTGCAGGGATGGAATAATAAAATATCCCAATGAAATTGAATATCCCAGAAAAAATAAAATATCCCAAAAATATTGAATATCCCAGAAAAAATAAAATATCCCAATAAAATTGAATATCCCAGAAAAAATAAAATATCCCAATAAAATTGAATATCCCAGAAAAAAAATCCCAATAAAATTAAACACCCAATTAAAAACCACCCCAATACAACAAAATATCCCAATAAAATATAAAAGAAAATATCCCAGTAAAATCAAAATAACCCAGTAAAATCAAACATCTCGATTTAAAAATACCCCAATTGAATATCCCAGAAAAAAAAAATCCCAATAAAATTAAACACCCAATTAAAAACCACCCCAATACAACAAAATATCCCAATAAAATAAAATAAAATATAAAAGAAAATATCCCAGTAAAATCAAAATAACCCAGTAAAATCAAACACCTCGATTTAAAAATACCCCAATAAAATAAAATAACCCAATAAAACAAAACATCCCAGTAAAACCAGTAAAACCAGTAAAACCAGTAAAACCAGTAAAACCAGTAAAACCAGTTACCCCGACCCCGCAGGGCTCACCTGAGGAGTCGCTGCCACTCGTGGCCCGGTCCCGGATCCCTGTGACCAGAACAGACCCAAAACCTGGATTTTCCACCCCAAATCCCCTTTGAAAAACCCCAAAACCAGCCGAGCCCCAGTTTGGGTTTGGAACAGGAAAAAAAACCCCAAAATTTGTGTGAACTGGAGAAGGAAAGGGGCAGAGGTGACCCCAAAAAGGGCAAACCAAACCCAAAAGAGACAAACGAGGTCAGTTGGGAAATTTGGGATGAATTTGGGGAAATTTGGGGAAATTTGGGATGAATTTGGGATGAATTTGGGGAAATGTGGAGCCAGATCTGAGCACGGGGAACCCCCTGCCCTGAGCTGTGACCACTGGTGGGTTTTTGGGATCAGGATCCCCCTGATGCTGCTGCAAAGGCAAACCAAACCCAAAAGATACAAACTTGAGGTCAGATGGGACATTTGGGATTAATCTGGGGAAATTTGGGATGAATTTGGGGAAATTTGGGGAAATTTGGGATGAATTTGGGATGAATTTGGGGAAATGTGGAGCCAGATCTGAGCACGGGGAACCCCCTGCCCTGAGCTGTGACCACTGGTGGGTTTTTGGGATCAGGATCCCCCTGATGCTGCTGCACCCCAAAAAGGGACATTTTGGGGCACTTTTGGGGCACTTTTGGAGGTTTTGGGGCTGTGACTTCTGGATCTTTTGGGGCATTTCTGATTATTTGGGGGTTGTGGCCCCTGGATCTTTTGGGGTTTTGGGGGGCTGGGATCGGGGTCTGACCTTTGTCCTTGGTCCTGTGGTAGGTGACAAAGAGCACGAGCAGGGCCAGCACCACGAAGATGACGGGGGACCAGTACCGGGCTGGGACACCCGAGGAGGCTCCTGTGGGGGCAGAGGGGACCAGGGGGGCAGTTTGGGACATTCCAGGGTGGTGGCAGGTCCCCCAGGTCCCTCAGGTTGGTGACACATCCCCCAGAGTGGTGACACGTCCCCCAGAGTGGTGACACATCTGCCAGAGTTGTGACACGTCCCCCAGAGTTGTGACACGTCCCCCAGAGTCGTGATACATCTGCCAGAGTTGTGACACATCCCCCAGCATGGTGGCCTGTCCTCCAGGCAGGTGACAAGCCCCTCAAGAGGGTGACAGGTCCCCCAGGGCTGGTGTCACCTCCCCACGATGGTGACAGATCCCTGGGGACAGTGCCACCTCCCCACGATGGTGACAAATCCCTGAGGACAATGCCACGTCCCCATGATGGTGACAGATCCCTGGGGACAGTGCCACCTCCCCACGATGGTGACAGATCCCTGGGGACAGTGCCACCTCCCTCCCTTTCCCGTGGAACTCACGGGTTTGGTTCCCCGCCGGTGTCACCGCAAGGTCCCCAGGGCTCCCAGGGGGGCTCGTGGTGACCCTTGGCCACGGTGTCCCCGTTGTCCCCGTTGTCACCCTGTCCCCGTCCCCGGTGGCCGTGCTGGGGTGTCCTGGTGGCTCCAGGGGGTCCCGTGTCCCCTCCGGGGTCTCCTCGGTGACGTTCCCGTTCCCCGATTGCTCTTCCTGGAAGCCGAGAGCTGGGAATTTGTGGGATTTGGGATTTGTCCGTTCTCCCCCAAACTCAGGGGTCGGGAATGGGAATATCCAGCCCAGTGTCCCCTCAGGGGACGTGGGACAGGGTTTGGGACATCGCCAGAGGGTGAAAGGTCAGGAGAGGCCCCAAAAGGAAATTCTGGGAAAGAGGAGAGGGAGGGAAATCCCGGGAATTCCAAGGGAGCGGGAACAGGATCCCAGGAACGGCCAGAGGTGTTCCAGGTGGGATTTGGGATGGAGATCCAGGAAATTCTGCCCCCAGAGGGTTTTGGGGCTCTGGAACAGCTCCCCAGGGAATGATCCCGACCCCAAAACCTCCAGGAGGGATTGGAAAACACTCCCAGAGACCGGGCGGGATTTTGGGATTTTGGGTTGTCCCGGGGTTGGGTTGGATGATCCGGGTGGGTTTTTCCACCTCAGGAGGTCCCACAACTCTCCGAGGGGGCTGAGCTCGAGCAGAGCAGCGGCCCCACATCCTGTGGGGTTCACACCTCGCCCCCGACGACAAAAACCCCAAATCTGTCAGGTTTTCACAATGGAAAATGGGGGCTGGGGCTAAGCCGAGGCTGTTCCGAAACCCAGGAGGTTTTGGGGCTGTGCCCCCCTCAGGGAATTACAAAATACCCAAAATATCCCGATTTGGGGCATGGAATTGGGGAACGTGAGGTGCAAGGACCCACCAGGATCATCCAAGTCACATCCATGGCCCTGCCGAGATTAAAACCAACAAAACCAACCCAAAACGGTCCCAAAGCCCCTCCTGATGCTCCGCCAGTGGGGGCTGGGATGGATTTGGGGAGCTGGGACAGCTCAGAAGACCCCAAAACCCTCCTGGGAGCACAAACCACGCTCAGCAAAGCTGGGCTCAACCCAAACCTGAGCTTAACTCCCCGGAAAAGCCCTACAGGGACCTCCCCGAGCTGCACCCGCTGCCTTCAGCCCCTTCCTCTTCCTCATCCTCCTCACCCTCGCTCCAGCCCCGCACCCCGAGTCCCCCCAGCCCCACTCACCGGCCCCAGAGCAGAGCAGGGCGAGGCAGAACCCCCCGAAGCCCCTCGGGCCCATCCTCCGCGCCCCAGCCCCACCCCGGCCCTCGGAGCCGCCTTCCTTCCCCTTTCCACCGGCAGGAAGCGGCGGTTGGTGAGCAAAGGTGGTGAAATCGGGGGAGGAACGGGCAAAAAAACATCCCCTGAGGTGCTTTCTCCTCCCCATGGATCATCTCTCCAACCCACAGAATTATTTTTCCATCCCACAAGATCGTTTCTCCATTCCATGGAGAAATCTCATGGATTTGTTTCTCCTCCCCATTGGATTCATTTCCCCATCCCATGGATCTGTTTCTCCACCCTAGGGAATTTGTTTCTCCACCCCATGGATCATTTCTCCACCCCACTGGATTAATTTCTCCACCCCATGAATCATTTCTCCGCAGGAAGGGGCAGGGAAAGGGTTGGAGGTCTGGGCAAGGAGGAGGAGAAGCTCCAGGAGTTCCCAAAACCCCTTCAGGGCAATCCCTGGAGTTGTTTAAATCCCAATCCAAGCCAAGGATGGGATTTCCCGCGACAGATTTGGAGAACCTTTGGGCAAATCCCACCCCTATAAAACCTGAGTTGCTTTTAACTCAAAACAATATTCCAAATATTCAAAAACATGGGGGGAACACAGGGAAAACACAAATTATTCAGAATTTACTAAAAAAAAACTGTTTTATTTCCAAAAATAAGGTGCAGCCAAGAACGGCGCTGGATGCGCCAGGAATTCTTATTGCAGACACTTCAAAGGAAGCTTCAGTTCCATCCGTGAACAATTCACCACGGCACAGACAAAGAGCGGCGGGAAGAGACACGGGCGGGAAGAGAATTCCCAGAATTCCGGAGGCATTGGAAAATCCAGGCCAGTTCCTCATTTTGGGGCGATTTCTGCCGTTTCCAGGTGGGTTTGGGGAGCAGGGAAAGGGGGAAATTTGTCCCATGCCCCCTGCTCTTGTCCTTGTCCCTCAGCAGGGTACATGTTCCAAAGGAATTCATTCTGCTCCTGGAGATTGCTGCTGGGGTCCCCAAATTCCTGCTGAGATCCCCAAATTCCTACTGGGATTCCCAAATTCCTGCTGGGGTCCCCAAATTCCTGCTGAGATCCCCAAATTCCTACTGGGATTCCCAAATTCCTGCTGGGTTCCCCAGATTCCTGCTGGGATTTCTTCTTGGATTCCTGCTGAGATCCCCAGATTCCTGCTGGGGTCCCCAGATTCCTGCTGGGATTTCTTCTTGGATTCCTGCTGAGATCCCCAGATTCCTGCTGGGATCCCCAGATTCCTGCTGGGAATCCTCCCACCTCCAGCAGCCCAAATCCTTCACCCAAATTCCAAACCCCACATGCAAACTCACCCAAGTCACTCTCCATGTCCCGTTTTCCCTCAGATCCACCCCAAATCCCAGATCCCAAATCCCGAACCTCGACCCTGCAGGGACTGGGGGGGCTGAGGGTTTTTGGGGGAGGGGAGTGTGGTAAAATTTAGAAGGTTTTGGGGTTGGGAAAGGGAACAGGTGCTGAAACCACACGGCTGTCACACGAACAACATCGCTTCTTGTTGTTCTCGTTTCTATTTCCTGGCGTTATTTTTGGTTGTTTTCAGCCCTGCAAGAAGCTGAAGTTTTTGCAAGGCTCAAAATGCAGCAGAAGAGGGGAAAAAAAATTACAAATAAGTCATTTACAAAAAAAAAAATTGCAAAAAATTAGTTTCCATGGGTTCCCTGAGATAATTCCTTTTAAAAAATGGGTCTTTCACCCAAAAAGGGGCTGGTTTGGAGCCCCCATCCAAGGAACCCACTGGCTGTTGATCTGGGTAAACAGGATTGGTCCCAGGTTGGAATTGGTGGTTCTGGAGGGCTTTTCCAACCCCAGGAATTCTGGGATTCCATGGAAAAACCCTTTGAAGAGTCTCCTCCAGCCTGTCTGGGAGTCCCCACGGCTGTGGCAGAGTTTTGGTCCAAATTCTGGTGGGAGACGGTGGGAAAAGGAGCCTGAATCCCCCAGAGCTGCCAAAACCACGGAGAAAGTTCCCAAAAATCCTCCCTGAAATCCCAAAGAGAGGGAAAATGAAGCAGCAAAGATGAGGGGAGAAGGAAGATTCCAAGAGGGGGAGATCCGTGAGATCCAGGTCTGGAGCAGGGCTGGGGATGCTGGAGCTGTTCTGGAGTCACCTTGTGGGGTCCATCCATCTGGCCAGGGAGTGGAGACCCTTTAAACCAGTTCCAGATCCTTCTAAACCAGTTCCAGGTCTTTTGAAACCAGTTCCACCTTCTTCTAAATCAGTTCTGATTTCTTCTAAACCAGTTCCAGCTTCTTCTAAATCGGTTCTGGTTTCTTGTAAAGCAAGGTCCACACTCATTAAAAGAGCTTCAGGCCTTTAAATCACTTCCATATTTTGAGAAAGAGTTTCATGTTCTTAAACCAGGTCCTTTAAATCACTTTATTTTCCTTTAAACCGGTTCCAGGTCCTTCTAGACCAGATCTAGGTCCTTCTAGACCAGCTCCAGGCCGGTCATGGAGGCATTTTCTGCCATCCCAACATCCACCTGCAAGGACAGAGGGACACAAGCTTGGTTTGGGGTGGTGGGGGCTGATCCCAGTCTTGGAGAGATGCAGGGTTTGGTTTAAGGCTCTGGACCCTCTGTGCCCGTCCCAGCTCCAGGGGTTCCATCCCCCAGCCCGGGCTCTCCCAGCTCACCTGCTCCGGACGCTTGACCAGGGAATAAATGGTTGTGGCGGATCCCTCGTCCGCGGGGTTGGCTTTCGTTCCGTTAGGGACGCGCTGGGGCAAGACCATTTTTACGTGTTTTACCACTCGGTGCTGGAAAAAAAAGATCCCAAATCCAGAGATCCCGCAAAGATCCGCCTCTGGAGGTGTCGCCCCATCCCGAGTCCAGGCTGGAGCATCCTGGGACAGTGGGAAGTGTCCCCGCCCATGCAATGGGACCAACCCCAAAATCCCATTTCTCTCTGATCCCTCCAAAACTGAGGTTTTGGGGCTGGGCACGGAGTTTTGGGCAAGTTCAGGTGCCCTTGGGCCACCTCCAGCTGTGGCACATCCCACTTGGAATTCTCAGAGGGAGCCAGGGATTGTCCAGCTGTCCCCAGGATGTCCCCACGGTGTCCCCAAGGTGTCCCCAACCCAGAGAGGACGCGGATCCTGGACTCACCTGCTGGGAAGGGCCCACCTCGGCGTACATGGTCGTGGAGTCAGTGGCATCTGCAATTGGGGGAAAAAGGCGTGAATTTGGGGATTTGGGATGCAGGGAATGCCCCGGCGTGCTCCTGGCTGGGGAATGAGGGAATCCCAACCTCGGGAGTCCAGCCTTGGGTAAAACCTCGAGCCCAAAGCCCCTCGGAGCTGCTGGAGGCGGGAATTGCTCCTCATCCCACCCTCCCTGGCGCTGTGGGGTTGGGATGAACTTCCAGCACCAAGGACAGGGAAAATCCTCCTTTTTTGGTTTAAATTCCAAAATCCTGGCTGTTTTGGAGGACAAAATCCATTTGTTTCTCCTTCATGTGATCCCCCCATTGCTCATGGAACAGAGCAGGGAAAGGGGGATTTAAATCCCTTAAAATCCCATTTTTGGGTCTAAATTTCCCATTGGAATTCCTGGACATTGGTCTGGGTGAGCAGGTGGGGATCAGGCACAGCTTGGACTCGGAGGTCCTGGAGGGATTCTTCAACCTCGGGGATTCTGGAATTCTTGGCTGGACTCACTCCGAGTCACTGAGTGGAATTCCTGGCTTTTTCCCCCAAATGTCTCTTGCCAGCTTTTATTTTTCCCCAAATTCCTTATTTTTTTCATGATCCCATGGCTGCACTCCCAGCTCCCTGTTGGTGGTCTGGGATGAAGTTTTCCAGCAAAAATGGAGGGGAAATGGGATTTCAGGAATCTGGGATCATCCCCTGGGATCAGCCCCTCCCACTCCCCACCAGGACAGAGGGGTTGGGGTCCTACAGCTCCGATCCCGAACCACAGCACTGGGGATGGTTCCCCTGGTCCTAAATGCAATTCCCTGGCTATTCCCACCAGGAAAAAGGGCAGGGAACTGCCCCAAAATCCCACCTGTGTCCGCAGGCTTGGAACTGAAGAGAAGGGATTTTCTCAAGCCTAGGGGAGAGGTGACAGGATCAGAACCCCAAATCCACCACAAATCAGCCCCAAATCAACCCCAAATCCTCCCCAAATCCACCCCAAATCTGGCGCATCATGGCTCCATCCCCCATCCCAGGTCCCACCTCCTGCTTCCCAGGGCTCCAGGGATTGTTTTCCACGCTCACCTCTGGATTTCCACAAGAACACGAGGTAAATCGATAAAAGCACCGCAACTAAAATCCCGAGCATGATGATGATCCCGCCCCCGACCCCGACCCCGACCTGGCTGCTGGAGACGGCACCTGGAAAGGGAGAAGATGCAGAAGATCCCAGGGGAGAGGGATCAGCCCATACCAACCTCAACATTCCCATCCTATCCCAACGCCAACATTCCCATCCCATCCCATCCCATCCCATCCCATCCCATCCCATCCCATCCCATCCCATCCCATCGACCTGGCTGCTGGAGAGGGCACCTGGAAAGGGAGAAGATGCAGAAGATCCCAGGGGACAGGGATCAGCCCATCCCATCCCCGAATCCCAATGTTCCCATGGCTCCCAGGGAACTGGGGTCAGCCCATACCAACCTCAACATTCCCATCCCATCCCAACGCCAACATTCCCATCCCATCCCATCCCATCCCATCCCATCCCCTCCCATCCCAACCCCTCTCATCCCCTCTCATCCCATCCCATCCCAACCCCAAATCCCAACGTTCCCAGGCTCCCAGGGAACTGGGGTCAGCCCATTCCAACCTCAACTCTCCCATCCCAACCCCAACCCCAACCCCAACCTTCCCATGGCTCTCAAGGCAGCAGGATCAGCCCATCCCAACCCCAACATTCCTTTGTTTCTCAGGGAATCGGGATCAGCCCATCCCAACCCCAAATCCCAACCTTCCCGTGTTTCTCAGGGGAATGGGATCAGCCCATCCCACCTTTCCCCCCACCTTTCCATGGCCCTCACAGGAAGAGGGATCTGCCCATCCCAACCTCAACATTCTCAATCCATCCCAACCCCAAATCCCAGTGTTCCCATGGCCCTCAGGAGTGGGATCAGCCCAGCCCAACCCCAAATCCCAGCTTTTCCTGCCCCCAGGGAATCAGGATCAGCCTAGCCCAACCCCAACATTCCCATGTTTCTCAGGGGAACGGGATCAGCCCATCCCAACCTCAAAATTTCATTCCCATCCCAACCCAACCCAACCTTCCCATGTTTCTCAGGGAATCAGGACCAGCCCATCCCAACCTTGCCGTGTTTCTCAGGGGATCGGGACCAGCCCATCCCACCGTTCCCACCTGTCCCCAGCTCTCACCTGAGCAGAGCACCCCGGGGGTGCTGACGGTGACATTGCTCCTGCTGACGGGGTTCCGTGCCGTGCACGTCAGCGGCTCCGGCTCCTCCCGGGATGATTCGTTCACCCGCAGCACCACGGAGTCCCCGTCCCACGGCTGATCCCGCACCCTCCAGCTGTAGGAGACGTTCCCGAGGCCGGCGCCGGGCGCGGAGCAGCGCAGGGAGAAGCTGCAGCTCCCGTCCGAGCAGTTCTGGGCCTCGCAGGTCACCGTGGGCTCTGCCAGCTCCCCTGGGGGCAGCGGGGTGTCACAAACCTCTCTTTTAGGGTAAAAAACCTCAAAAGAACACTAAGTGCACCTACCGAACACCTGGAGGGTGAAGGTGGATCGTTTTCCATCAATGATTACAGAGTAGGTCCCGGCATCCTCCATCCTCAGCTGGGGGATGGTGAGCACACGGCCCTTCTCGGAGACGGCAAAACGGGTTTGGAATTTGTCTTTAGAAAATACCGGTCGAGGAGGGTCCTCAAATGCCACAGTCACTATGGGATCATTCCCAAAATTCCAGAATGCTGCACTTTTGTCTGTGTTGTGGGTGCGGAAGGTCACAGACCTGCCCAGGACCCCGATCACCTCCTCGGTGTCGCTGGCGCTCGCTGGGGAGAGAAAGCAGGGAGGGAACATGAGATGGGGTGGGATGGAGGAGGGGGAATGTCGGATGGAGGTGGGCTCAGGGTGGGATGGAGGAGAGATGGAGGTCAGTTGAAGGGGGCATGAGGGTGAGATGGAAAGATAAAGGGAGGCTGAGCACGGGCTGGAGGTGGGATGAAGTTGGGGTGAAGGAGTTCTGAGCATGGGCTGGAAGTGAGATGGAGGTGGGCTGAAGGAGGGATGAAAAGGGGAAATGAAGATGGGATGAAAAGCTGGGATCAAGGCAGGATCAGGGTGGGATCAAGGCGGGATCAGGGAGGGATGAAGTTGCCGAGCCCAGACACTGAAGCCCATCAGGGCAGGGGGTGTTTGAAGGCTCATGGGGGGCTCATGGAAGGGACCCTGGGTGAGGGAAGAGCATGAGGCCACCCCCAGGCTGAGCCCCCGCAGCCTCGTGCGCAGCCTCGTGCGCAAGGACAGAGCCCGGAGGGGAACTGAGAGGGAAAGGGGAACGTGGAGTTGGGGATGGGAAAGTCAGGAAGGGTCACTGAGCAGGACAAGGAGCTCCTGGTCAGACGTGCAGCTGCTCCTTGGAGGAGAATCAGGGAATCGTGGAAATCAGGGAATGAGGGATCATTTGGGTTGGGAGTGAGAGGAGAGAAACTCCTCCAATTCTGCTGCCATAACATCCCCACAGCTTCCACCGGCCCAGGGTGCTCCCAGCCCCGTCCAGCCTGGCCTGGGCACTGCCAGGGTGGACGGGGCAGCTCCAGCACGGCCTCTCCAGGCTGAGCACTCCCTGTGGCCGCAGGGAAGGGCCCCTTGGAAGCTGCGGACTCACTCCAACAGTTCCACGACCTCCTCGTGTTGGGGGCACCAGACCTAGAGGGATCTCACCATTGCAGAGATGAGAACCCTCCCACACTCCTTTGGATGCAGCCCAGGACAAGGTCCAGGATCCCTCTGGGTCCATCCCTTCCCTCGGGGCCATACCAAGACCTTGGGTCACCAATTCACGGAGGAAGCAGTTCTTTTTGTTATTTTCACAACTTCCCATTTCCAATTAACCATGCCACCCGGTCTCGACTGGGAATGGAGTTTTTCTTCCCAGTTTTTCTAACAGAGAACTGATCCTGGCTCAGCCCCGAGGCTGGGCTCGGAATTTCTGTCTCCCTCAGCCTCAGGCACCTCTGGGGCATGGACAATGGAGCATCAGGACGGAAAAAGCTGCAGGGGAAGATAAACTTGCAGGAAAGTTGCTGAATAACGCAGCCACGGGATGGTTCACATGATAAACGCCCCTCAGAGGCTGTGGGGAAGGGCTGGGGCCAAACTTGCCCAATTTCCCTCTTTTCAGCCAAAAAACAGCCCAGGATGAAACCTCCAAGAACCAGGAGGCAACTGGGAGAGGAGCAGGAGCTGAAGGCAGAACAGGATGTCTGCAGAACATCTGCACCTGATCTCTCTTTTCCAGAGGGTCCCCATGGCCAGGGCATCTCTCCCCCTGGTTGCCCCATCTCTCCCCCTGGTTGCCCCATCTCTGGGAGGTTGCGCAATCCTGTGGAGCCGATTCCACACATCCCCACCCTCCTGGGGTCCCCAAAACCACCCCAACCCCCCACGGGCTCCTTGCCAAGGGACAAGGAGCACCTGGCAGGTGCAAAGGGCAGCGAGGACGGAGCCTGGAGGTGAAATGGATGGGAGAAAGTTGGAGATGGCTTGGAAAGATCGGAAAGGTTCGCTCTGAGCACCAAAGTGCCAGCTCAGGGACCCAGCAGGACAGGGAGCTCCTGGCCAGACCTGCAGCTGCTCCTCGGAGCAGAATTGAGGAATTCTGGAGAGGTTTGGCTTGGGAGGGAACTTAAAATTATCCCATCCCACCTCCTGGAACCTTCCAGAATGCCAGGAGGCTCCATGCTGGCCTTGGTCACTCTAGGGATGGCAAATCCATGGAATAACCTCTGCCAGGAGCTCCTGGGAAGCAGCTGGCCAGAGGCTGGGCCAGGGATGGACAGCAGGGATGGACAGCAGGCATGGACAGCAGGGAGGGACAGCAGGGAGGGACACCAGGGATGGACAGCAGGGATGGACAGCAGATGGACACCAGGTGTGGGACAAGTGGCTCAGGTGCTCCGTGGGGCCAGCCCCGGTTCCTCAGCTTTGGCCAAAAAGTAGCTGCTGCAGCCCCCTTTGTCCCCCCCAAAAGCCACCCCCAGACATGGGACAATGACAATTTTTGGGAAAGCAGCAGCCCCCAGGTTTGGGGTCACTCTGGTCACCCACAGTGAGGGGGAGATGTGACCCTTGGGGGTCAGTGTCCCACCGGCCATTGGGACAAGGGTGGGGGGGGGTCCTGGATGGATTTGAGGATATTTGAGGCATTTTGGGGAGTCTGGGTGGATTTTAGAGGGATTTGATGTGTTTTGGGGAGTCTGGGTGGATTTGGTGGATTTGATGGGTTTTGGGGTGTCTGGGTGGATTTGGTGGATTTGATGGGTTTTGGGGAGTCTGGGTGGATTTGGTGGATTTGATGGGTTTTGGGGTGTCTGGGTGGATTTGGTGGATTTGATGGGTTTTGGGGTGTCTGGGTGGATTTGGTGGATTTGATGGGTTTTGGGGTGTCTGGGTGGATTTGGTGGATTTGATGGGTTTTGGGGAGTCTGGGTGGGTTTTGGAGGGGATTTGAGGGATTTGGAGGGTCCTGGATGGGTTTTGTTGAGGATTTGATGGATTTTCAAGGTCCCAGGTGGTTTTTATTGAGGATTTGAGGGATTTGGGGTCACTCTGCTGGGAATTTGGCGGATCCATGGGTCGCTTGTCCCTGTCTGGCTCAGGGGCTGCCTGTGTCATTCTGCCACACCCCAAAATCCGGTTCTGAGTAGGAAGAGAAACGGAAACCTCCATTGCGTGGTCTCCCCATTCCCCTTCAAGCCCCTGGGGGCTCCAGCCTCGGGGTTCCTTGGGGGGCAGCTGCCCCGTGAGGGGGTCCCACCCTGAGGGGGGTCCCACCCTGAGGTCCCACCCGGGGGTCCCACCCCCACCTTGGTTTTGGCCGTGTCCCCCCCCGTGGAGGTGACACTGGCGACAGAAGATGGCGCTGGGGCTGGCGCTGAACCTCCTTCTCTTCCCCCTCTTCTTCACCACGCCAGGTACGGGGCTGGATGAGGGGCTGGGGTGGGGACGCGGCTTTGGGGACAGCTGGGGATTTTTGGGGACCTTGGGGTGAACCCACCCTGTCCCCACAAGGTGTCACCATCGGGTCCCTGCCCACCGGAGCCGCCACGTCCAGGGGGGAAAGACTGCCCCATGTGGAGTCCCAAAAAAATGGAAGTGGGGGAAAAATTCATCCCTGAGGGATTTGGGGTGGGAAAATTCAGGATGCTGGTCCCGCCCCCTTCATGCCAAGGGCTCCAGAAGGGGCGGGGTTGTTTGAATTTTATTTTTAATATTTGAGTGACAATTCCAGACGTTTTGAACGTGTCTGGAATTCCAGGTGGGATGAGACCTGGGGAAGGATGAGCGACCCAACTCCACCATCCCCGATTTTTTTGGCAGCTTGGACAGAAGAACCCCCACCCTTGGAGGTGACCGGAGCCGTGGGCGGGGTGGCCTTTCTGAACCCCCGCAGCCCCCAAAATCCCTTCAAATACTCCCAAATCCACTGGCGCTGGGAAAACCATCTGAGAATTGCCGTCAGGAAATGGGGGGAGGAGCCCACGTACCCCCCGAGCCGCTTTCGGGGCCGCCTGGAGCTCCTGGACAACGGCACCCTCCAAATGAGCCCCCTGGGCCTGGGGGACAGCGGCGAGTACCACCTCTATGTGGAGGACGACACGGGCAGGGAGAGCATCGAGAAGGTCCAGCTGAAGGTCTACGGTGAGTTTGGGGACAGGGAACTGTCCCAGAGCCCCACGGGGGCGCTGGGGACGTTGTAACTTCCTGGGGTTTGTGACATCCTGGGGTTTGTCCAAGAACCTCATGGGGACCTCGTGACATCCTGGGGGTTGTCCCAGTGCCCCACAGGGACATTGTGAAACCTTGGTTGTCCAAGAACCGCATGGGGACACTGTCCCCGAGCTCCAGGGGGACTCGGTGCCATCCTGGCACCGTCCCCGAGCTCCAGGGGGACTCGGTGCCATGCCGGCCTCTCCTGCAGAGCTGGTCCCGAAGCCCCTCGTGACGGTCACCACCAACGGTGACCCGCAGCAGTGCAACGCCACCCTGAGCTGCTCCGTGGGCCTCCAAGGGGTCACCTACGAGTGGATCCCACCGCCGAAGGCCCTGGTGAAGGAGGGCCCAGTGCTAGAGGTCTCCTTCAACCCCACGGTGGACACCTACGTGTGCAAGGTCAGCAACCCCGTGTCCTCCAGCAGCGCCTCGCTGACCTTCCGGCACCCCTGCAGCTGGACAGGTACGGCCACGGCCGGACACAGCCCCGGGGAGGGCTGGCCCGGCCTTTGGGGTGTCCCCAGAGCGGGTCGGGGGGGATCTGGGGACTTCCAGAGAGATACCACAGAGTGTTTGGGTTGGGAAGGAGCTCTGAGGTCATCGGTGCAACGTGGGGCTGACCCTGCCTGGTCATCCAGGGGGATCTCCAGGGGTTCCCCGGACACCCCCAGGGATGGGCACCCCAAACCTCCCTGGGGCTGACCCTGCCTGGTCATCCAGGGGGATCTCCAGAGGTTCCTTGGACACCCCCAGGGATGGGCACCCCGAACCTCCCTGAGCCCCTTCCAAGGCCTTTTCCCCATTTCCGGGAGGAATTTCCCCAAATTTCCCACCCTGAGCCTCCCCTGGCACAGCCCAAGGCTGTTCCTCTGTCCTGATTTCGGATTCCACCCCAAAATTGACCCCAGTGTGGTGTCGGAGGATCCCTGAACCCCAAAACTGAGCCCAGAGGGGCTCTGGACATCCCTGAACCCCAAAAATGACCCCATGGGGTACTGGGTGGTCCCTGAACCCCAAAAATCAGTCAGGAGGGTCCCAGCACCTCCCAAAATGATCCCTGGGAGCAGATCCCAGTCCCAAGGTGGATCCCAGGGTGGGGATCCCTTTTCCCTCCTCCCGTGGCTTTGGGGTCCATCTCCTGCTCTGCTCCAGACGAGTCCTCGTCCGTCACCCGTGCCACGCCCAGCGCCCTGGTGGCCCTGGGACACCTCGTCCTCCTCTTCCTCCTGCTCGCCGTGGCTTGAGGACCCCGCGGGTGACATCTCCGGTCACCTCCTCACCTCCCACCACCACGGGACCAACGCCTGCACGAAGATCCCGGAATCCGCCGGGCGCGGAGGGAGCGGAGTCACCGGGATGGTTCAGTTTGTGGTTAACTGGAAATCCTCCTGTCCCCTCACCCCAAAACCTGCGGGGAGACCCCATCTGAGCCTTTCCCGGGGTTCCCTGGAATTTTGGGGGATCCTTTGGTGCTTCCTGCGAGGGAGGGTTTGGGGTGGGTTTTGGGTTTCCCACATGTCACTTTGCACATTAAATTCCATCCTCAACACCACATCTTCAGGATTTTCTGGATTTTTCCGTGGGCTGGGACATCCCATGGCTCAGGGATCGGGGGATGATGGAAGAAGCTCGGAGATGTTTCCCCCCAGCCCCGTTTTTGGGGATAAAATCCCTTCCTTTGTCCCCCAGAGGAGGATCAGCGCCAGAGGGTGGGACACGGATCCAGCGGGGTGGGAAGAAATCACAGGAATGACGGAGCCTCCAAAAAAATCCCTGGAAAAGTTTGGGACGCTTCCAGCTCCACCAACCCAGCCCAAAAAAGAGGAAAATTGGGGATTTCACCTCCATAAATCCCAAAAAAATTCCACTTTCAGCAAAGATTCCCAAAGATTCCTTGGAATCATCCAAGGGTCAACGGGGACCTCCTTGGAAAATTCCGAATAATTCCAGCCCCGCCTGAGGAGTGGCTCAGGGTAATTCCTGACTCTGGATGATGATTTTAACACCAAAATTGATTTTTCCAGCAACTTTTCCCCCTTGGAAATAATTTTTTGGGGTCTTGGTCCATTTCCATGTGGAGATTTTGAGCTTTTATTCCACTTACAAAATCCAGGATATAAAAAAACCTCTGGAAATTAATAATTAATAATTAATTAATAACAATAAATAATAATGAATTAATCTCGGGTGAGCTTCCAGCCAGAAAATTCCAATATTAATTGATGGGGAAAAGAACAAATTTAGGATCATTATTTCCACTTAAAAGAGGTTTTTCCTGCCATTTTATGTTCCTTGTTCCCAAAAGGAGTTTTCCTCTGGATGATTTCACTTCATTAATTTTTCTTGCCTGATACCAGCCAAGCCCAGGTGGGGAAAATTGCTTTTGGGGGGGATTTTTTGGCTTTTATGGACCATTTCCAGGTTGAAAATCTTCCTTTTGGGACCTGGGGGTTGGAGAAATCCATGGAGAAATCCAGCCTGGCCATGGGAATTCCAGGTGGGATTTGCGCCTCTAAAAACACCACAAAAAACTCCAAAATACCCCCCAAAATCCCAAAATGCCCCCAAACACCCCAAAACCAATGCCTTTGCCGCCCCAAAATCCTTCCAAGCTCCCGTTCCAGAAGTTTCCAGGAGGAACCACCGCTGGTTTTCCTGGATTAATTCATCCTGCTCTTCCCCATTCGTATTTTTTCTGTAAAGTGGAGGTGACAGGGAAATGATGGCTTTGGGTTTTTACCTATCAGGTGCTTTCTGAGCAAGGAAGGAGGAGCCTCACCGGATGTTCCGGGTTGGGTTTTTTGGGTGGTTTCGGGTTTTTTTGTCATTCAAAAATCATTGCCCGGCAGCAAAACCTCGTGGAAAACTCTGAGCTGGGCTTCCCTGGAAAGCAGCGGGATGTGATCCAATCCCAGGATTGGATTTGGGTTAAAATCCCGGAATTTTCAGCCCTGGAGGTGTCCAAGGAGCAGCAAGGTGGGAGTCGGTGACATCTTGGATTGTTGGATCCCAGAGTTCTTCTCCGGCCTCAGGGATCCTGGAATTCCCGCTCCATCCACACCCTGAAAATTGGGAAAAGCGGCGAAATTTGGAGAAAGAAAAAGGCAAAATCCCTCGGATTTCAAAGCTCCTCCACCAAAACCAGTCAAGATTTTCCAGCAGCAGATCCATGACTGGATTTTTCTGGCCTTTCCCATCCACTCTACCAGGAAGGACCATCCCCA